TTTGATAATTTTAAATCATTTTTTAATACATAATTTTTTGGAATTATAGTAAGGGTTAGGGGAGTTAATATTTAAAAATATTTTGGTCAAAAAAAGAAAAAAAAAGAAAATTATGCTGGGTTTAAAATTTGCTACTAAATTTTCTAAAATTTGCTACTCTGTGACACTTTCTAAAATTTGCTACGCCGTGACACTTCAGAGTCTGAAACACACTGTCCGTGGGATGTGGCTTTGGGGTTAGAGGAATCTGACTCTAAATGCCAGTGAAAAATGCAACCAGGCAAATGCAAAGAAATTTCTGGGCAACTTGTTTATGACAAAAATGGTGTTCTGAAATCAGGAGGAACTGTTTTTGCTTTATATTAAATTTGCATGTTTATAGACCTGGGTAAGGCCAAGCTGTAGCCTTAAAGAGAAATAGCTAAAGGCCCCCCAAAAGGTACTTACTGGGTGAAGCTCCCCAATGATAAATGTTTTAGACATTTCTCTCGCATCTGAAGAGTGCCCAACGTCCTCAAAGTCCTCGGTAGCGTCACCCCCGGCTTGTTCTCTTAAGACTTCTTCCCCGCCGGGATGCTGTTCAAAAGACAGACAGACATAAAAAAACTTTTTTCCCCAAGCAAATGAGGTAAAGGAAGTGGCAAGTTTATTTAACCAAACAGGATACTCCAGGAGTCACGGGTGAAGTGACTATAATTCGTCCACGATGCAGATGGCAACAACATACTCCTGTGTATTCAAACTCCTTCTAGAAAGTGCGATAAAACTCTTCCCAAGAGTAAAGTGTCTGCTTCTCCAGATTATTCATGGGGCAGACCTTTTTAATAGTTTAGGAATGTCTTCTTTGCTTTTTCATAAAGCTCTCAAAATTGCTCTCCTTAATCTTTATCCAATCTGTTTTTTCTTGCGTCTCATCTTTTTGACTTCTCAGGTCTGAGTGGGAACAAGCACCATTGCCCCTTAGATGGGAATCCACCTTTGGCGAGCACTCTCTGAGCCTGCCTGCATAGAAGGGAGCAGCCTGCGGGCAGTTAAGCAAGTCCCCTGTGCCTTGCAAAACTCACCTTCTAGCAGGGAGGAAAAGAGCAGGTGCAGTAGTGACTTGATCAAAACACCACCACAGGGCACATCACTGACAGGCAAGAAGGAAAGAGTTCAGTTCCACATGGGGGAGGGGTGGAAAGAGCTTTTTGGGTAACCAAGGCATCTGGGTGCTCTTAGCTGCTTTAACTGGTAAAACCAGGGCACGCCACAATGCAGACAGGGGAGAAGGACAAGCGAGGCCCAGTCATGGATGTAGGTGAAAAAGTTTAGAAATTCTCAGGAAGGAAAGGGGTTCTCAGTCAATTTAAAAAAGTGCTTGGTTACATCATCCTAAATGCTTTTGCAGGGGAGAAAGAAAACCTTCTTAAATTGAGCTTCAGTATTACCTTAGATCAAATACACCCTCCCCTTGAGCAAACCACCTATAAGTGTCCGACGCCTGAACAAACCATTCTCTCTGTAGTCTCTTCTTCTTTTCTCCCAATAACAGAAGACATAAAGGCACATCGCATTTTAGAAAGTGGACAATTTTTTTGAAAGCTGTTTCTCTTCCTCCTTTGTTTAAACATATCTAGTGCTAAAAGATTTACTTATTTATTTTCTCTACTATTTATAAAAGTTATCTGTCTACATTATAAAAAAATTGAAAAGCAGAAAAAAGAAAATAAAAATCACCCATAATCTTGCCATCTAGAGAAACCTGAATAGTCATATGTATATGTGTGAATGATTTTCAAAAGGAAACATTTGTAGACAGTATGGCTAGCAGTTACTACCACAAGAAATTGGGAAAATAACTGTGCTTATCACATAGTTTCTGAGGATTAGATGTGTTGATATATGTCTGGCACATGACATATGACCAGTAAATATTATCCAGCATTTTTATTAAATATTTTCCAAAGTCATTATTCCTCAATATGGCTTTTTACAGGGCTATATAATGTTACGCCTTGCAGGTATTTCCAAATGTATTTAAATGTCTTCTCTGGGGGTCTTCAGAACAGTGGAAGTCCACTTAAACAAGCCTGGGAGCCACCTGGTGGCCTCGGCAGGTGGCAGACTGACTTGCAAAGCTAACGAGAACTTCCTGACGCCCCGCGAGGCCACAGCAAGGAACACATGGTCTCCTGACCTAGAACGGGCTGTTTATGGTTAGCCATGAACTGAGGAGCACACAGCCAACATGGGAGATGTAAAGTGACTAACTCGGCCGCGCAAACTATGTAAATGCACAGACCGTTTCTTCTGTGTGGCAGCCTAACTCACAAGATCCTCCTTAACTTCTGGTTCTTGCCAAGGATACGTGAGTACAGACAAACCCCCAAAGTAACTCGCCGTTTTCCAGTTACAGCCTATCTTCAAAGGAACATTTCAAATGAGGTTAAAAACATAGGTTGGCCTTTTATAAAAAAAAAATAAAATAAAATTAGGCAAGTTTTAAAAATATAGCATTTGATCTTTAAAGTGCTAAAATGGGGAAAGTAAATACCTATCTATCCATGATTTAAACCCTCCCTAAGCCATTTGTGAGGTGGTGTCCTAAGGAAAAGAGAATGAAAGAGACAGATATTTTGGCTTATATTGGTTTCACTGACCACTATTTAAGAAAAAATATAGTATAGAACAAATGAACTGATGCTAAGATACTTTTGACCTACCCCTGGGATTTTTTAAATAATTAGTTAGAAAAACAAAGCCTAAAAATTGATTTTTGGAACAAAATAACTCAAGTCTGATTATATAAGAAATGAGAATGGCTTACTGCAGCTCCTAATATTATCCCTGAAAGATATTTATGACAGACAGAGAGAGACACACTGCCAGGTAAAGCAAGTCTAAATCACGATGGTTCGAAACTCGGCAACTCATCTGTCACTCTTCTCCCTGTTGGCAAATCTGTGCTGCTGCTTTAATGAGATGCTTCGCACCTTAAGACTAAAGGGAGCGTTCTTCCTTACCTGTCAGCACTAGTAAGTGACAAGGACAAAGTGAGAATGCTGGCGCTGCTGCCATCTTGGTTATTCCCAGAGATGGAATATGGCTTCTCTAAGACTTTTGTCCAGAAACGCTCAGAGAACGTACGACTATCTCTCAGGCAGGTTACAGCCTTGGGGGTGGGCCAAAGAAAAGGCAAGGCTTCGAAAAATGGTGGAATAGCAGGTGAGCTCAATTATCTGAGGGTCTGCTGAAAGATCAGGAAAAGCCCAAAACGCCTGGTCACGCGGGGGCGAGATTAGAGGCAACACAAGAAGTGAAATCCTCTGAGGACTCTGGCCAAACTTGGGCGTCTGGGCCAGGAACCTGTCCTGGCGACGTATGACTCCCAGGGTGTCACTCAGGCCCGTGTACAGGCAGCAGCTGTAGAACCCAGAAGGACAGGAAGGAGTGTTGGGGAGACGGTAGGGAGGACAAGGGGAAAACAAGCGTGTCTCACCAGGCGTCATCCTTCTAACGCAAAGGCTCCCATTTTCCCAGAGGAAGACCTGGTTTTCCATTTGGGTTCTTACGTGCCAAAGTCAACTCACTCAACAAACATACCCCATGTGCTGCCAGGCGCCACATGGCGAAGTGCAAGGCTCCAGTGAGCCAAGGTCAGGGCTCCTACAGTCTCGCAGGGACCCCGCAGGAAAAGCACACAATTGCACAGCCCAAGTGAGCACGAGTGCTCTGAAATGACGGAGCAGGGCCGTGAAGAACACGGCCCTGATGGCTCAGGAATGGCTTCGCTGGGCTGAGGTGCAGAGCGGGAGTCGGATTAGCCCAGGGCGGGACCGAATGTCGGAAGGTCTCATAGTGGAGGGAGCATGCGAGTCCGGGACTGGGGAGGAGGGGCGAACCACACAGGCCCGGGGCCTCTTCAGTGATGCTGATCTCTATCCTGTGAGCAATGAGAAGCCACCAAGAGGATCTAAGAAGAAAGGGTGACAAAATTAGATTTAGTTTAAAAGTAAACCCAGTCATCAGAGTGGAAAGCAGACATCGGGGCAGGAGAGGGCTCAGGAAGACCCCTGCTGAGGCCATTACGCTCATCTAATCCAGGCCAGAGGTGACAGTGGCCTAAGGAAGACAGGAGCAGCCGTGGACGAAGAGGGTGACGGGTCAGAGAGAACAGACGAGAGATGACACTTCTTGCTACGTGAAGATAGTGGGTGTGAGACAAGATGCATCATGCTGACTCAGAATCTGACTTGCACAATCGGATGGATGACGGTGCCAAAGGCTGGGAACAGGGTCCTGGATGGAGACCAGGTCGGGGGAGGCTGCCTGCTGGAGCGCATCCGCCTGCTGAGCCAGTAGCTCCTGTGTCTGTTTATGTGAACAACGTAAATCATTCATTTTATGGCTTAATCCTCCTTTCACAACCACTAAAGGTCTGAAGTGGTCTCGTCAGCTCTTTCAGTTACACGATTAGTGAAAGAATTATAGTTGTAATCGTACTTGAGAATTTGAGGATTTACCGAAGTCAAGCGTCTGCCAAATACATACAGAAATAAGAGAAATGCAGATAACAAAAAGTGTTAAATGAGTATCGATGAACTCAGGGAAGTCGACCGAGGAAGACGGCCGGTGTTCACTGACATGCCTCTTGCCTGGTCCCGAGGGAGCTGAGGTTGCCCGCCCCGGCCATCAGTCATTCCAATTAATGGCACTCGCTGAGCCTCTGTGGGGCTCAACAATCTAAAAGGTATACCCTGCTCTCAGGAAAAAAAAAAAAAAAAAGGGTAAGAGGTCGAAAAAGGAAAAAAATATTACAAACTTGATAAATTTTTCTTGACTGGACACCAAGTAACCATAATGAATTGCACAGTATCGACAGTCCTTTGCACAATGCTAACAAACAGGAAAAAGTTCAGATTTTCACCTCATCGTTAACAGTACCATGGTCTCCAGAGACGTCAAACAATTAGAGAAGTGTTAAAGGATCGTCTTAATTTATCTTATGTTTAAATAATTGGGCCATTTTAATAAACATCTTAAACAACAATCCAGGCCCCATTAGGCTAGAAATTGGATCCGCAGAGTGGATGAAGACGGCACGCTTGAGGCCAGGAGCACGGAGCGGGGCCAACCGGCGGAAACGTGTGGGAGAGCATGCGGTCAGCGAAGAGACAGAAGCCTCTGAGTGACACGGACTCCGTGCGGCGTGTGAGGGCTCATCGTGCATGCCCGCCTGACGGGCCCTGGGTGCGTCTGGGGGGCAGCTTCCCTACGAGTCGGGGGCCCTGGTAGAGGAGAGGGGCTCCCGGAGTGGGCGGGCCAAGAGAACACAGGGCAGAGGAAGGAGGGTTGGCCTTTCTAGGCCTGACGCCTCACTGTCGCCTCACTGACACGGCTGAGACCACCTACTTCTTCTCCTCCTGCCCTTGAACTCGGACTTCCGCTGCTGGCCCCCTGCTCTCAGGCCTGCAGACTCGAACTGAATTACACCGCCAGCTCCCGAGTCAGCCTGCGGACGCACACCTGGGACTCCTGGGCCCTCCTAGGCCCTCCTGATAATAAACCTCTTCCCATCTCCACGTGGAGTGACA